CGAGGACGACCTCGGGGGTGGTATCCCGAGGTCGACGTGGCTGGTGGGCGCCGTCACGAGTGGAGTGTCTGCGCTGGGCGTGTGACGGGGAGTTGGGCGCCAACCAGCTGCACGCACCTGCGAAGCTAGTGCCCCATTGTCCGGGGTGCAGCGCTGTGCAGCCGACTTGCTGCAGCGTTGGCACACCGCGGACTTGCAACGTTGGCAAGCCGCGACTCTGCTCTGCTGGAGCGCGGTCGACCAAGTCGTGCTGGCACGCGGTCGACCGTGTGCTACGCTGGCAGTCAACCAGCAACCTTGCTAGGTCTGGTTGTAGTCTGTGTTGCCAATGTTGATGCTATCATTCTGAACTTTTGTTGTCATGTTTTCCTAGTGAAACTCTTGCCAATTTTCCCCGTGAACTAGCAAGCAGTGTGAGCACTTGGAAACGACTAAGGAACGAACGAACGCTACGATCACGCTTGCCCCGTGCCTAGCCCGTAGTCTAGCTCGCATTGCACGAGTTATCTCCGAAGAGGAGGGGATGAGAAAGGGGAGGAGGAGGGGATAAGAGAGGGAGGAGGGGATGAGAGAGGGGAGGACGGGATGAGAGAGTGGAGGACGGGATGAGAGAGGGGCGGTCGGGGAAGAGAGAGGGGAGGACGGGAAGAGAGAAGGGAGGACGGGATGAGAAAGGGGAGGACGGATGAGAGAGGGGAGGAGGGGATGAGAGAGGGGAGGAGGGATGAGAGAGGGGAGGAGAGGATGAGAGAGGAGGGGGGATGAGGGGGGGAGGAGGGGAAGAGAGAGGGGGAGAAACGGGATGAGAGAGGGGAGGACGGGATGAGAGGGGGAGGACGGGAAGAGAGGAGAGGGGGGACGGAAGAGAGGAGGACGGGATGAGAGAGGGGCGGACGGGAAGCGAGAGGGAAGGACGGCAAGAGAGAGGGGAGGAGGGGATGAGAGAGGGGAGGAGAGGCTGAGAGAGGGGAGGGAGGAAAGAGTGAGGGGAGGAGGGGATGAGAGAGGGGAGGAGGGGATGAGAGAGGGGAGGAGGGGATGAGATAGGGGAGGAGCGGATTACCCATGCGGACGTGGACGACTGCGGCGCATTACCCACAGACACACATGGTAATGCACATGTTTCTCATTTTCCACATCTAGTGCATAGTATGCGGCAGCTGAGACGAGGGGAGTGCACCTGCGGCGCGGAGCACGGCCCGGACGAGGAAGAGGCGCGACGCGACGTTCGGGAGTGTGGCGAACACAGGCATTGTGAGAGGGCAAGGCGGGGAGGGGAGGGGGATGAGGAGGCGAGGCGCGAGGCGGGGTGACGTGGCGGCAATGAGGAGACGTGGCAGCAACGTGGCGATGTGGTGGCGATTCGGCGGCGGGGGGGGCAGCGATGTGGCGGCGATTTGTGACGGCGAAGATGAGGCGAGGCAGCGAAGCCGCGACGTGGCGGCGGTGTGGAGACTAGGCCTCCACGCGGCGATGTGTGGCGGCGATTCGGAGGCGAGGCAGCGAGGCGGCGATTTTTGTGTGTGACGGCCTAGAGTTGGCCCACGCGGCGATGTGGCGCGGCTAAGAGGAGGCACCTGTCGACGTTCTTCCGCGATTCGGGGGCAATTTGGCGGCGACGCGCCGACAATGCATGCGTGGCCATGACACGAAGCAGCGGGGAGGCGAGATAAGCGGGGAGGCAAGAGGCTTTAGCAGACCGGTTCATCTCGATTCGGGGGAGGGCAGTGTGACGCCGCGCTGAAGACGAGGAGGCAGCGAGGACACGTAAAGCACGCGCCGTGCAGGCGACGACATCGCGTGCTGTCGGCGATGACGCCAGTCACATGCGTTGAGGCACTACCATGTACCTGTGGCGTAACTCGAAGGCCTCCTACTCGTGGGCTAGGACGTTGTGGCGCTTTGGGAGAGCTTGCCTGGCTGCCATCTCTTGGGTCTTTTGCTTTCGACGCTTTGGTGTTGAAGTTTTCCCTGGTTTATCACTCGCTTATTTGACCGACTCACTTCCCCCCTTCTCCGCTTGCTTCTCACTTCCGCGGTTGATCTCTGCCCTTCAGCGGTGTATTCCCCCAACCCAAGGCTAGTACGAAATAGGCAGGCATCGCATGCCTTGTTTCGAATCAGCAAACGCCTAAGGGTGTTCTGTGACAATACACCCAAAAGCCACCCACAGGAATGTGCACCCTTGCTTTAAGGGGTTTCTTTGGTTGGAACTCCTTTGGTACCTTCCCTCTCATCCTCCTTATCCCCTCCAACCTCGTTTCTTGCTACTTCAATTTCTTGTGTAAACCTTGGTTTAATAATGGTGATTGAGTTAAGTTTGAGCTCCAGCATACCCCCTAGTGCGCCAAGATTCATAACTTGAGAAATACTTCATTTTTTTCATGCGATTCAAGTTGGGAATGGTAGTCATAGTCCAAGGCTACAATATATCTGGAATTGGTGAAGCTTTAAATGGTGCAGTTTTCGTCGCCGGCGTTTCTGGTACAGACGAGTTTTCTTTCCATAATTTAGTTGACAATTTTGAGTTATTGTCTTTCCCCTATCAACGTATTGATGTGAAAGGGAATTTCTGCACACGACCCGTGGGGACTACTAAGTGCGAATGAAAGGAGTGCAATGAGCTTCTATGTTAGAGGGGGATTTACTGTTCACTTTGAACAGTACCCTATCCTTCTCTTCATAGATTTCCTGGTGCCACGTAACACTCTAGTTCTCTTGCCTTCTACGTCATACAAAGTACTTTCCAACTATCGTTCTTGCATGCTGTGTAATGCTGGCTTGTTTTCACCAATATCAACCAATTCTCATTCAACTATTACTCAGTAACGTCTTCACCAATTCGCCAACAGTTCCTTCGCCAAAGTCTTCCGCCGCGTTTCATCCTCGACTTAGTCGACCCCGCTATTCTTTAGCGGATTTTGGCCAATAAAATATACAATATAACATTGCAGATCCTATATAATTGTCAACAAAATATTAAATATAGAATTATAAAAAAACATAACATAAACAAACCACTAAGTATTAACAATCTGAACTTGAGATGGTTTTCATATACAAAAACATTGGAAGGAGAGAAAGACATATAAATGTATAAGTAAAGGCGTCAGAGGGAGGCTTGCGAGAAGAGAAATGCATTAACAACAGGAGAAGCATGAAGAGAGAAAGATTTAGCACAACGAAACGAGGAAGCAATGAAAACAGAAAGGAAAGTTAGTGATGGGGGAAAAAAGTATAGTAGAATGCAAAAGGAGCATGGAAAAAGGAATAAAAAGGTGGAATCAATATGGAGAAAAAAAAAAACGGGTATATAGGAAAAGCTAGAAGTAATGGTCGGGTCAACAAAATTAGGTCGGAAAAACCTAAGCAGAAATGTGTTTCGTAAAAATACACTCTCTAGTCAGATTTTGAAACAAAAACAAAACAACATTCAGCACAACTGTTTCCATTTCAGCTAGTAATATGAAGGTCGAGAGGTCGATTCTCAACTTCAGGTAAGTTGTGACCCACAGTTGCTGTTGAAAATTTGCTTTGCACTTTTTTTTTTTAAGATATCGTTTACAGCTCAATCCACGCAACTTATAAAATAGTTTCAAATAGCATAGTAATGTGAAGTTCATCATAGTGATGTAATATAATCTTTATTTCAAAGGTAAAAGTTGTGACTTCTAATATTCATACATAGTGAATTACCCTCTTTTCCCGCCCGGGCGCGCGGGCCCCTCCAACCCCATCGCGCCCGGGCACGCAAGCCCCATGCGCGCGTGCCCCTCCCGCCCCTTCCCGCCCGGGCGTGCGCGCCCCTCCCCTCCGAGGGCGCGGGCCCCTCCCGCCCCCTCCCGCCCGGGCGTGCGCCCTCGTCCAGCCCAGGCGTGCGGGCCCCTCCCGCTCGCGCGCGCGCACCCCTCCCGTCCCCTCTCGCGCGGAGAAGGTACGAAAGCGATAGAGAGCCCCAGGAGCAAAGCCATGGAACACTGGCATGCGATGAACAATAGGTAGCGAGGGGGAAGAGGAGGGGGAGGAGGAGGGGAGGAGGAGGAGGGGGAGGAAAGGGAGGAAGAAGGGGGGGGAAGAGGGGGAGGAGGAGGAGGAGGAGGAGGAGGAAGAGGAGGATTTGGTGGAGAATCCACAGATAGTTGTTGTGAGAAGAAAGAGTGTGAAATAGGTAAGAGAATTGACGAGATACGTAAGAATGTTACAGGTTGCTAAGCCTGGTGATGGAGAACTGCGATGCAGGCAAGGAGCCATTGAAAGCATTGCGCTGAATATCTTTGTGAGCATGCACGCCCATGCACTCATGCCCATGTCAAAAAAAGTTCGACATATTCTATATAATTGTTTGTAATTGTAGTGTTGTTAACTAATCTTGTATAAGGTACACCACTTCTTGTCTTGTTTCTTATATAACTTGAGCCTTTCGCCCTTTAATGAAGCACCTTTTTGGCCAACATATTTCTCTCGTAACTTCTATTTGCTCGTAGGGTTTCTCCTCGTCTAGGTAGCTCTTATTTTAACATGCTATCAGAGCCGTTCGTTCATGCGGACGTTTTTTTTTTTTTTTTTTTTTTTTTTTTTTTTTCTTCTTCTTCTTGTTGTTAATGGGCCAATCATTGGCCATAGCGCTCCCGGTCGTTGCCTGTCAAACAAGTAAAGTGAGAATGAATTACTGACGAAAGAACAAACAACCAAGATATAAGGAACCTAACCCTAGCCCTAGGGAAGAGAAAGTACACATAGACTAACAAATAGAAGCTATAACAAGTATAGCTTAACACACCCCCATAGTCAAGGTGACGGTAGACCTGTGGAAAGCAACACATAGAAAGGGTCAAAAGACCAGTCAGCAAGAACAAGCAACGGACACAAGGCAAGTTCACAAGAACACAACGAATCTCGGGGTGATTTTCAAGATCACCACACAGTCCGAGAACAAGCAAGAGACCGCAAGGCTAGTCCACATGCAAGGATATAGCAAATATAGAAGATGCAAGAGTATAAGACAAGCATCTCTACAGAAGCAAGGGGACACAAGGCTAGTCCACAAGTATATATATACAGGAAATATAGAGAGATGCAGGAGTACAATGCAAAGCATCTCTATGCAAGCCCTAGCTGGGTGCAGAAACGCTGGTGGTCGCAAGGCGAAAATGCCTTGGTGAAAATATCTGCAGTGTTGGACTCAGAGAATACACGTACCACGCGGGCCTCGCCACGCTGCTGCAACTCGCGCAGAAGGAAGTAACGAAGCTCGATGTGCTTCGCCTTCCTTACCAGTCGGGGCTCCTCACACAACAGGACAGCAGACCTGTTGTCGGCGAACAAGACTGGGGGAGAGCGAGGCCGCTCACCAAGGCGGTGAGGAGAAAAGACAGCTAGCAACGCTCCTGGGCGGCCATGGCCGCAGCGTACACATCTGCCTCACAGCTGGAACGGGCGACTAATAATGCCCGAGTCGACCTCCAAGAAACAGCGCCAGTCCCAACACTGAAGCAGAATCCCTGTGTAGACCGCAGAGAGTCTGTGTTGTTGGCCCACGATGAGTCCGAGAAACCAATAAGTGTAACTAGCTGCTTCCCTCCAAGGACAAGTTCTATGCCTAGTGTGCTCGACACATTCGCCACCTTCTTAGCTGCGTATCAGTGGGAAGGTCGATGTCTCCGAGGCACATCAAAGCGCGTAAGGAAGTTAATAGGGTAAACTTGGTTTGGGCGAGTACAGGTCATCAGGTGTATGAGACGACCCACCAGCTCAGGTCAGGATATGGACCGGTGGACTCAAATGATGTTACAGTCACAAGAGCCGAGGTACAGTGATGTGGAACAGTGCCACACTGTCGCCAACCAAGAAGAGTCTCAAAACTACCCTCCACAATGGCCTACGCCAAGAGAAATGTTACACTACACTTGTAATGTAAGTATTCTCGCAATCTTGAAGTGTACCCTTTTGGCGAGCTTCGAAATCACTTGAAGCTTGAAACCAAGGCTCTGATTTTTCACCATAAACTCATCCTTGAGTTCTTGATGGGTTTGCTGCACACATCTGCGACACGCCAAACGTTTGACAC